AAAGTGTGGAAACCAGTGGAAGTAACAGAGGGAAAGTGTGGAAATCAGTGGAAGTAGAGAGGAAAAGTGTGGAAATCAGTGGAAGTAAAACATGGAAAGTGTGGAAATCAATGGAAAAAATGACCCCTCCTCCTAAACATTTTTACATTTTTGAACTCAAAGGAGCTTAAAGTGTTGATAAATGCAACACAGTTGAAGTGTATTTTCTGTATGTATGGATATATCAGTGTATGTGGGAGGTCACCCACTTTGAAGCCTTATAACTAGTGCCAGTTGTTAACATTTTATGAAATTTTACAAGAGGTTTTGTACTAGAACTATTAAATTTTAATGATTAAAGATCGAAGGAATGAGGATATAAAGTGGAGTCGTGTGTCGGACTTAATAAAGATTTTACTCATTGTTATCATTTACATTTCTTTTTTAAACTCATCTCTTCTCTCAAATTGAAATAAAACTCTAGAAAAATAAAATGTAAGTTAATAAAATTATGTATTTTTAGTATTATACGATGGCTTTAATTAATTAATACTTTATGTGTAAGCTTAATGTTGTCAGGTAATTTAATTGCGTGTTTGTTATTGGAATTTCTAACTACAAAACTACCAAAATGGTTGTTTAATAATATCTTTGGAATGAGATTATTTGTAAAATATAAATGACAAAATTTAGTTTCCATGGAAATATTTAACGTATCACTCTGTAAAATATTGTTTAATAAAATATTTACATTATCATCGACGTATGAATAAATAATATTTATAATTAAAAGCTTTGTTTAATGTTACAGTAGAAACAAAGGAAATCGTTAATGGAAATGATTTCAAAATTAATAATTTTTATCTAAATGTTTAAAAACATTGCAAAAACTACACCAGATTTAAAAATAAATAAATAAAAATTCAGTAATGTGTTGCGTAACTTTCCCGGCCAAACTTTAAAATTTCATATAGTTATATCTGTTAAAAAATTTTTACAAGACTTTTTATATTAATAATTATTATAGAATAGCAAAAAAGATTAATATTGATTGTAGAGATGAGTTTTAAAAAATACCAAATGCTAATAACGAGTAATATCGTCATTAAATCTTGTTGTATATCGACGGACCAGAAAATGTTGTATACAAAATTGATGTTGTGATAATGGTGGTATGAAATGTTCCTGTTTATACGGTCAAAAAAACACAGTACACTTCCTGTCTAACAATAACAACACAATTACACTTTAATGTCTCTAATAAGTGAGTGACTCTCTGGCACTCCACAATCGAGCAACACTCCGNTTCTAAGTTAGTAGAAACGTTACTTATAATTGCTTTAGAATTTATATATATATATATTAGTATATAATTGCCCACCTGATCAGAATCGAAACCTCCTAAATTTAATTTATTCCACTCGTCTAAATTGGCAAGACGTGACGTTCTGTCTCCTTTAACAAACTTCCCAAATTCTACTGTAACGGGAAGAGCTGTGATGATGTCTCCTTTCTTACTTTTGAAACGTACTCGATCAGCCACCGACACAGACAACATGCTACTGATACACTTCTGGACCGTTCTGTCCTACTTCGATCTTTCTATCCATATACACTGCCAACTAACACCATCTGGTGTGCTGACGCCATATTGAATTTACGTTCTACCCCTCTATTGGTTCTCCTATTTAGTGATCGATCCATACTCGCTCGATCACTTTTATAAATATCGAACTGGCAGTTTACGACTTTCTGAATGAAAATTTAATTAATTAAATTTAAATTGTCATTTATAAATTAAATTATGCTATTATATACTCTTTGGCTTATGAGCTTTATTGGTCTTATGTATTATAATTTTTAAAAAAAGTCATCGTAGTAGATGAAGTTTTTTTGAAAATGTCATTTTGAACTTATGAAAACAACGAAAGTTTTTATGGCAGAGATTTTTATTACAGACTGAAAATTTAGGTTAGAAGCTTATAGATAAAACCAGCAATTATTTTTCGTGGCATTGTCACTATTCCAGGCTGCAATTTTCAATCATATTTAAATGTATTTAATTTAAAATATATGCTCTCCACCTCAAATTAGTAGTGTCTTGCCCCTGTACATCATACTTTCCATGATAGCAACAGAGTCATGCCGGTCAGCTACGTAACTCCGTTGCGGGGAACTTTTTGAATTGAAATCACGTGACTTCCGATCTAGACCGGAAGTTTGAATATCGTTATCAGGAGCATACTGGTCATTATCTTTCCATATCTGCTCTAGTCGTTCATCTATCTAACACCGTTGTCGAGATCAAGGGAGGACGGACAGACAAACAGATGTCATTAAATAGCTAATTACATGCTGAATCATTTAACTGTTTAAACAAGATTTCAATTCTTGTTTTAATGTAAATGAGCTTAAAAATTTACATTCCTCTTTTTATTTTAAGAATACTGAGAGCAACATAAACAGAAAGATAAATATTGAATAGTATAATATTGGATTGGATTAATGGGAAAAGACAATGCAACAATGGAAGAGAAATAGCTTCTGGAGGACATTCCATAGGAAGGGGGCTAAAATTTTGGTCTTAGACACGTGTAAAAACCCGAAAAACTTCACGTTGTTGAGGAGCAAATTAATTGTATGAGATTAAAAATGCTCATTGTTTTTAAGTTGTAAAAAATATTATTTGCATAATTCTGAAAGTACAATACTCATAATTATTTAAAAATTATATATTTTACATTAATGTTAAAGAAATTAATATATAAAAATAATATACTTATTTTAAGTCTAATATATGATATACGATTTATTAATTAAGTAAAGAATTTTATAATGCACTTATAATAAGTGAATTATAACAGAAAATTGACATTATATAAATTAAATATAATTATTTATAACAATAAGTATATGATAATTAAATTCTACAGTATATAAAGCGAAAAATTAATACTTCTTTAATTATTTTTACATTAATTTGCTTATGTAAAACGATTAAAATACATACAGAAATAAAAATAAATTAAAAATAATTTTATTAACTGAAACCTCATTAATTTAATTTAAACTTATTGATTAATTATTCAATAATAAACATGCAACAGTACATTATGAATTTTTCAAGTTATAACAATATTTTGGAGTTACTCGATTATTATCAGGAGAAGTACGATATACAGGGGAAATATACAACTAAAATCCCTTTCTGTTATTTAGACATTTAAAAAGAAAGAAGTTATAAATGTATTTAATTTAAAATATATGCTCTCCATTTCAAATTAGTTATGGCTTGCCCCTGTAAATCATGCTTTTCCTTTAACATTGGAGTGGTGCAGGTCATCTATCTAACATCTTTCAGGGCAACTTTTTCAAATTATAGCCAAATTATTTGAACTTTCGACAAATATTCTATTTGTGAAAGATATTCAGAACATTCACATTGTTAAATTTCTTGTAATACGTCATTTAACAATAAGGAAAAGATAATACAGTACAGCCTCGATTATCCGACCCCCGATTAACCGACACCTCGGATAACCGACCGTCCTAGTGGGCAAATTTCAAATGTCCGCTAGTGATGTGGCGCTACATTTTTTGGCTATGTCTTGGCTACTTTAATATTATTTTTACGTGTTTTAGCTGGCAACACTCATTCGACCATGAAAGGGAGCCAGTATTTAAACGAGGCTTAATTTTCTAATTTTTAACGATACAATAGCGA